TGTAGGTGTTTCTTATTCGGTTGACTTCAGAACCTTAATGTATCTGTAGGTGTTTCTTATTCGGTTGACTTGAGAACCTTAATGTATCTGTAGGTGTTTCATATTCGGTTGACTTGAGAACCTTAATGTATCTGTAGGTGTTTCATATTCGGTTGACATATATTGCTGGAAATATTGCATAGAACCATTAATACGGGAGTTTTTCATGTAGCAAACATACCCTCTATTAATACGGGAGTTTTTCATGTAACAAACATACCCTCTATTAATACGGGAGGTTTTCATGTAACAAACATACCCTATATTAATACGGGAGTTTTTCATGTAACAAACATACCCTCTATTAATACGGGAGTTTTTCATGTAACAAACATACCCTCTATTAATACGGGAGTTTTTCATGTAACAAACATACCCTCTATTAATACGGGAGGTTTTCATGTAACAAACATACCCTCTATTAATACGGGAGGTTTTCATGTAACAAACATACCCTCTATTAATACGAGAGTTTTTCATGTAGAAAACATACCCTCTCATCTTCCTCTGTAAACTGTTGCTTGCCACATTGTTTTATCGCTTGAGCGACACCTATAATCTCGTCATCAGCATTCCGGACGGGCATGCATAGAAGAGATGCTGTCTTATAGCCACAAATTTTGTCGACTTCATCATTGTACCTTGGGTCCTGTGGACGAAAGAACAGTGACAATATAAAAGGTTTTTTCTTGAAACATTTACTTATTATGTTATGTAATAAAGTGAGATACTTCAACATTAACTTGACTGTATGATAAACACACTTTTATCTTAAATCGGTTTAGCATTAAATCAATTACATGTCAACTTCTTGGAAGTATTAGTGTTTAGTTTATTGATTCAGGACTGACTTTGATATTTTATAGTAGCTGAAGTTAGGCTTTATATGGTTTCATTGGAGTTTATTGTATTAATGTAAGAACGTGTCCCAAATACGTGATATACTTAGTTCATCGGTTATTGTGTTATTATTTGTGTTATCAATCAAGTACGTGATATACTTAGTACATCGGTTATTGTGTTATTATTTATGTTATCAGTCAAGTAAGTGAAATACTTAGTACATCGGTTATTGTGTTATTATTTATGTTATCAATCAAGTAAGTGAAATACTTAGTACATCGGTTATTGTGTTATTATTTATGTTATCAGTCAAGTAAGTGAAATACTTAGTACATCGGTTATTGTGTTATTATTTATGTTATCAGTCAAGTACGTGATACACTTAGTACATCGGTTATTGTGTTATTATTTATGTTATCAGTCAAGTACGAGATATACTTAGTACATCGGTTACTGTGTTATTATTTATGTTGCCAACTAGTTAGTTCATTAGTTAGGATCTGTGTGTTTAGCTTAGGAAATAAGAAATGATTCGTTTCATTAATGAGTTTCACCACATTATCCACATATATATAGTTTAGGCAATGCGTATTTACGTTACTACATGTTAAAGTATTAGTTTCGTTACTTTAGATAATATATATTTATGTTACTACATATCAAAGTATTAGTTTCATCAACTTAGATAATGTATATTTACGTTACTACATATCAAAGTATTAGTTTCAACAGTTTAGATAATGTATATTTATGTTACTACTTATCAAAGTATTAATTTCATTAGTTTAGATAATTTATATTTATGTTACTACATATCAAAGTATTAGTTTCAACAGTTTAGATAATGTATATTTATGTTACTACTTATCAAAGTATTAGTTTCAACAGTTTAGATAATGTATATTTACGTTACTACATATCAAAGTATTAGTTTCAACAGTTTAGATAATGTATATTTATGTTACTACTTATCAAAGTATTAATTTCATTAGTTTAGATAATTTATATTTATGTTACTACATATCAAAGTATTAGTTTCATCAACTTAGATAATGTATATTTATGTTACTACTTATCAAAGTATTAGTTTCAACAGTTTAGATAATGTATATTTATGTTACTACTTATCAAAGTATTAATTTCATTAATTTAGATAATGTATATTTACGTTACTACATATCAAAGTATTAGTTTCAACAGTTTAGATAATGTATATTTATGTTACTACTTATCAAACTATTAATTTCATTAGTTTAGATAATCTATAATCAAAGTGTCATCACCATTAGTTACTGCGTGACCAAATATTAAGGCTTAACTTCACGTATACTAAACAGATAATGATATTCTAAGTAACAAACATCATTTACGTCATTGAAATACCTCAAAAGCTTCGACTAAGTTCACTGTTTCCCCAGTGTCGGCCACGTGACCCAGGATCCCAACTCCCAAAGGTACTTTGAGTTCCCTGCCCTTTCTTGAATTAGTCATAACTGTGCCCATCCCGCACTCAACGTCAAACCCCCTGGATACGAGCAATCGTCTGTCCTTCGACCCTTCCACGAGGAACAAAGTAGCGCAATCAGCGTCAACAAATACGGCCAAGTTGGTGACAATTTTCTGGGTTAAGCTCGTAACATTTAGGTCGTGGGCTATCTCCTGGACACTCTCCAGAAAGAACTGTCTTTCATTTAAAAATCGAAGCTCGCGTTTCGAGTCCAATCCTTTTGAGGGTAAACGCGGTATTCGAACCTTGGATTCAGTAAGGAGATTCAACATGTGAATAGACCGGGAAGGTAAAGAGAGATACCTCCGTAAATCCCGTAAACTGCTTTTCCGGACGTGTGTGGGACTGTCGGCACTCTGGCTTATCTTTTCGCACTTGTAATGTTTGCCAATCTTCTTTGATCGAGCAAATTTTTGACGTAAATGTTTTTTTGAATTTGACCGCCTGTGTGGGGTTACGTCCGGCCCGTCGCTGAAGTAGCCTGAAGCTCTTTCGACGGGGGACAGCTCGTCACTGTTGACCAATGTTTCCGAATTTCGCCGAGAATTTACGTATTCACGGATGGACAAAAACCCATGGGTCATGAGCCAGCGGTTTATGTCCATTTTTCGAAGAAAATAATCTTCTGCACTTTGTTGATGGTCATCCAGCCACTCTTCCACCTCTGAGAAAGACAAGATGGTGCTGGGTCTTTTCGAGGCAGTCGTTGTATGTTCTTCAGGTAACACCTGGCCATCGTCACACGTGACCTCGACCCGCCACGATGGCACTGAGGTCATTTATTTGGCAAGTCTTTCAGTCAACACGAAAAAAATGATTTTCTCAACTATAGCAAAGTTGATTTTGATGATGAGTTGCTAGGTGATAATCTTTTTTTTTTTCTGAAACGACAAGTATAAGATACAAATATCAGGTTGTAAAACAACAAATCGTCATACTTATAAACATCAAATATAAGGTTCCTAAGGGTGCTTAAGAATAGAAGATAGCTAGCATTAATAAAGATAACTAGTAGAAGCTAGCCAAAACGAGTCAAATGAGCAGACTTTATCACCTAGAATTTACTAGAAAACTGATGAAAAGTTGCTTATTGAGTTAAGCCTAATGAGTACACTGTATCCACCAAAAGTCACCGAAAATGAGTATACTGAGTTAAGCCTAATGAATAGACTGTACTAATAACTAACAAAGTTTAAACTCAATTTCTTGTCAAACTAACCACGTGTAAACTATATTGCTAATAACCAAGTACAAACTCCATTACAAATAACCAAGTACAAACTTCATTACTAATAACTAAATAAATACAAACTCCATTACTAATAACTAACAAAGTTTAAACTCCATTACTAATAACTAAATAAGTACAAACTCCATTACTAATAAATAAACTAGTACAAACTCCATTACTAATAACTAACTACAAACTCCATTACAAATAACCAAGTACAAACTTCATTACTAATAACTAACTAAGTACAAACTCCATTACTAATAACCAAGTACAAACTCCATTACAAATAATAAATACAAACTTCATTACTAATAACTAACTACAAACTCCATTACAAATAACAAATACAAACTTCATTACTAATAACTAAATACAATCTCCATTACTAATAACTAAATAACTACAAACTCCATTACTAATAACTAAATAAGTATAAACTCCATTACTAATAACCAAGTACAAACTTCATTACTAATAACTAAATAAGTACAAACTCCATTACTAATAACTAAATAAGTATAAACTCCATTACTAATAACTAAGTACAAACTCCATTACTAATAACTAAATAAGTATAAACTCCATTACTAATAACTAAGTACAAAATCCATTACTAATAACTAAATAAGTATAAACTCCATTACTAATAACTAACTAAGTATAAACTCCATTACTAATAACTAAATAAGTACAAACCCCATTACTAATAACTAAATAAGTATAAACTCCATTACTAATAACTAAGTAAGTATAAACTCCATTACCAATAACTAAATAAGTACAAACTCCATTACTAATAACTAAATAAGTATAAACTCCATTACTAATAACTAAGTAAGTATAAACTCCATTACTAATAACTAAATAAGTATAAACTCCATTACTAATAACTAAATAAGTATAAACTCCATTACTAATAACTAAGTATAAACTCCATTACTAATAACTAACTACAAACTCTATTACTAACAACTAAGTATAAACTTCATTACTAATAACTAACTAAGTATAAACTCCATTACTAATAACTAACTAAGTATAAACTCCATTACTAATAACTAAATAAGTATAAACTCCATTACTAATAACTAAGTAAGTATAAACTCCATTACTAATAACTAAATAAGTATAAACTCCATTACTAATAACTAAATAAGTATAAACTCCATTACTAATAACTAAATAAGTATAAACTCCATTACTAATAACTAACTAAGTATAAACTCCATTACTAATAACTAAATAAGTATAAACTCCATTACTAATAATCTCGAACCTCCGTCAAAATTTATCACAGCACGATTAACAGAAAAAACTGAATTTAGAATTTCCTGAGAAGACTGAACGTGCTGTTACATCCACATCGTTTTAGTACAAAAACCGAACACTGATATGTGTATAGTATATTCTATTTCGGATGTCATTTAATTGTACAAAATTATTTACAAGCATTAAACTCACATTATGAGTTAGTAAATATCCCAGAGGAAGGTTCTTCCACAACTTCAAGCGAGATAAGAGAGTTTATTACGTAACACGTTAAGAACGTGCTATGACTTCGTCATTTAAGCACGTGCTTTACTGCTTAATGTACTGAAGTTCGCTCATAAAGATGTCTTGTGGTTTGATATAAGAAATACCCTTGGATTTTTACAACAGTGTTGGAAGATCCAAGCATGTCACTATCGAAGTAGAAATAACTGATTACAAGGTTAATCATGCAGCAATGAAAATAGATAAATAAAGTGAGTTTAAGTTTCAAATAACGTGTATAATGTACGGTTAGGAAATGTTAGTATTTCAGATTTCTGGCCTTCTCTTCACACACATACACACAAATAACGATGGTACATAAAAACACAGTTTGGTCCACAATTTGTTTACGAGAATTTAATAACATTGTTTATAAACATAGTTTTATTTGATTTTCTTATATTGGTATTATCTCCCACTTTCTGTTATATTGTTATTTATTGAGTATCGTGTTTTCTCCAACTTTTCCTGTTTCTACTATATATTGTTGTTTACTAGGTAGGATGTCTTCTCCAACTTCCCTCTTTTTACTGTATTGTTGTTTACTAGGTAGAATGTCTTAGTCC